ATTTAGCACATAAAAGCTCATGATCTATTTTATCGAACGCCTTAGAATAATCTAATGATACAAGTGCTGAAGCATCTCCCTTATCAAGCGAAGCAATGATGTCATCTAAAACCCTTGCTAAAGCTGAAGTTGTACTAAAACCACTGCGGAAACCAGATTGACACTTGGGAAAGAAATCATTATTAGAGAAATAATGATAAACCTGATGTTTAATCAATTTCTCCAATATCTTCGATATAACAGGAATCAAAGTTATAGGTCTTAAGTCTGAGAGACATTTTGGATTTTTACATTTAGGCAAGGGCTTGACAAGAGATAGTTTCCAAGCATCAGGGAAATACCCAGCCTCCAGGCAACAGTTCAATAAATGCGTCAGGGGTAGTAATACTCGAGGCAAGCAAACCTTCAGCATTGAGACTGTTATACCATCCGGACCTGCTGCATTAGATTTTAGGGACAGAATAATGTCTAGCACATTTTGTGGGGTAGCAAAACTAAATTCAAATCTAGCACTTTCATTAATTTTGGTACTATTAAATTTATCAACTAGATCCTTGCAATTGCCCGAAGGCGTGAAAACGGAAGAAAAATAATTGTTTACTTCATCGGCATTCTTCAACTGTGTAGGTAAAGATCTATCTACATTAGTTTTGAGTTTCAATGAATGTACAGCTTTCCAGAGATGCTTGTTACTATTTAGTTGTTCATTGAAGCTTAGATATGCTGCTTTCTCCCGCCTAATAGCGGAAATGACATCATTTCTTAATTTCTGGTAATATTCGAGACTAGCTGGACTTTTTAAAATCTGATATTTTCTAAAGGCTTTATTTCTCTCGAAGATCAAAAATTGTGTGCCACCTGTGAGCCATGGAGCATAAGGTTTAGTAATACGTGATGAAACAACAGGAGCATGGACATCAAACAAATCCAAAATATGATTAGAAAAAAACGTAGCTTTATCCTCTAAGTTACTGATGTAATATATATCGTCCCATGGGATTTTATACAAATCCACCAAAAAACGATCTTTACAACAGTGTTTAAAGTCTCTATATTTGACAGTCTTTTGAAAATTCTTAGGCCGTGTGATGTTGAAGTCACATCTGACTACATTATGATCTGACAAATTCGGAACAGGTACAGAGCTAGTTGAAATTAATGATTCAGCTAAGTTATTTGTTGTACAAATGACATTTAAATCATGAATGAATTTTAACATGAAATATTTAGAAGAACCACTAATATCTGACCACGCGATTGCAGTGTGTATATTTTCTTAAACCATAGATAAGGCGACAGCATTAATTTTGAATCAATTGGAGTCTACGAACTGAAACTTGATCTAGGTAAGGATAGAAAAACTATAAAACAGCAGTTAGTTTTTGAAAGAACTATGCTTACACAAAGATGTTTTTCAAGTTGAAATTGATGAAATGCATATTAGTGAACAATGTTTTCAGTACAACTAATTTAGATTGTTCACGAAAACGTAAATCCTTGTCAAGTGAGACACCCAAATCTTTTGCCAGATCCTCATAAATCAGAGAGGCGTCATTAATGCGAACTGTCGTGTTTCTTTTGATATTTATGATTTTTCGGTGCAAAGTGAACAGTTTTAGATTTAGAGGCATTAAGTGTTACGCTTGGAAAAACTGGCAATGGTGGCTAATTCGCAATTCAATAGCGAGATCAATTTTTTTACAGATTTGTGTATCATCAGCAAAAAACCTTGAGGGGAGCGTATCGTTTTATGGCTAAAACGTGCATACAGTTACCAAGGTTGGAAGCGTATAAATACTCAAAGATCAAAAAATGTTTATGTACTCTCTCCCATTGCCTACAACTCCCAAATTCCAACCCCTAAAAGGTTTTTTTTTTGAAAATGATTAGGACCCTCTGAAATGTCAAAAGTTTGAGCGATTTTTGTGTTGTTTGTTTTTGGCTTTTTTCTCCGCCGATTTTCAAAAATAAAGCCTTTTCGTCATTTCATCAAAATCCGAGCGGTACTTTCCAAGTTGTCGATGGGCCAAGGATTAGAAGACAAACCGACAGACGGAAGGATCGACCAAAATCAGTGACATCCTTTTTCATTATGTACATATCATATTTTTGAAATTCCTGATGAGGTCTCAATGATCCAAGAAATTACAGCTTCAATGTTTGTCAATGCCCAATAAACAGACCGTACTATTATATATTTACGTATTTGCTGTATTATCTATGCGTACATCCAATCTGCCTAATAATAAATAAAACATGTTTTAATCCGAAAAGCGATAATTAAAAGAGCGATATGCAAATTGGTATGCGCAATAAACCCACCGCTATACACTGCATTTATTGACTAAATATTATTATTTCCAGTATGTGCTCCAATTACATTATCCATTGTAAAATAACTGACATGGCCGCCGGCCAGCTGGTAGGACGAGAAATATGTTTATGCAAATTTAATTGGAATTTAATTATAATCAATATTCTCTCTATTTATATGGTTCGCTATCGTTTTGTTATCATATTATCTATTCAACAAGACCGCTTCGATTTTTCCAGTAATTTATAGACCAATAATTATATGCATTTTATTGTGCGTTTCGATATCGGACATCACTGAATCGATCATTTTGAAAACGTCATACACGATTTGAATTTTTCGGAAGACAGTAAAAGCTGCGGCACCGACAAATGGTTTTGAATGCTGTTTGACTTTTAACAGATTGAAAAGTGAAATAATAATAATAATATATAATATGAAAAAAAAAACAGAATGCATCACCTGTGTGTGGATTATATCTCACTATATAACAAAAACCAAATGCGTATAACAAATATAAGCAATTCTAAAAAGCATTTATGTAATTTGAAGTATGCAATTTTAGTTTCCCAGATAATTATGTAGTCGAAGTTGAGTCATTTATTTTAACAGTGAGTAGATCTGATCGAAAGAAATGTTTTTTTCCTTTACCATTTTTCTGGTAAAATTAAAGTAACAAAGTGATAGCCCTTTGGAAGTTTGAGTACCGCCCTGTCTCAATAATAATAATATTATGTGCTCGTGTTTGGCAACAACGCATATAATCCGCCTTATCGGTTCATCGCATCGGAAACAAAAAAGCGAAAGAATTTGGAACGATGTTTTTACAATTATTTTATTCAGTTGTATACAGTCAGTGTCAGTCGGTAACGCGTGAGTGAATAGTGGTGTCTGTTGCGTGGCTCAAACGAAATAAAAAATGGCACATGTTTACGAAAATGCTGAACTTGTGGACATGATTCTTATTTACGCGGCATCACGGATTTATGCGGATCGGTTTCCCAATCGAGTGCAACCAACCCCTCGTGCCTTTGTTAATGTAGTACAAAGGGCTCGTGAATCAGGTGACTTAAGACCTCACAGGGGAGAGCATGCCGGTGCTCCAAGACCGCACGATCAAATACAGGTCCGCACTGAAATACTTGTCGGGAGGATACTTTATAAAACAAGGTAACATTTTTTTTTAATTTTGTTTTTATTTTTACACACATATTTTGGTTTATCTTCCTTCTACAATCATTATCTGAAAATTAATGACTCAACTTCAAAGTCTATATAGTCTATAGTCATTCGGTGCATAGTACAAACCCAGTCTTTTAATTTTCGACTAGTTTTTTTTTTACGAAAAACTGAGAGAAATTGATCTGAATTCGTTACTATAGTTTAGTCAAGTATTGAGTTGTTATTTATGATAACTAGTTAGTGTTTAAATAAATTTCTTCATTTAAAAAATCTTATAATTATCTTGTGATAAAACTTTTAGGACATACAGTACCGGGCAAAAGTGGAGAAACATTTTATTTTTTTAAAGATTTTATTAAATTATTAAAGTTAACTAAACACTTATGCTTTATTATAACTTAATGTAACGCAATTCAAAGCCAATATGAAAGTAAAATTTCTGCTGTAATAGAACTATGCTAACAATTATTATTAGTAAATACAGCAAGCAAAAATAGAGAAACATAACATACAAAGCAATTGTCGTATACAAAGGAGCTAATACTTGGTTGCATAACCTTTATTTTTGATAACTGCTAGACATCTTTTTCTCATAGACACAGTTAGGCTACCTATTGTTTTTTTTTTGGAATAGAATTCCAGGCGACTTCGATTGTTTCAAATAGTACGGCACTATTTGTGAACTTTTCTGAATGTTCAGTCCGAATTTTTTTATCAACTAAATCCCATAGATTCTCTACGGGGTTAAGGTCTGGACTCTGAACTGACCACTTAATGACATTAATATTGTGATCTGCAAAAAATGTTTATATTATTTTCGCGATGTGCTTGGGGTCGTTGTCGTGCTTTAACCGCCAGCGTAGAGGCATGTTTTCTTCTGCGTAAGGTAGCATGGTATCAGTTAACATTTCCAAGTATTTGTACCGGTCCATAATTCCTTCAATTTTGACGATGGGTCCCATTTGAAGACCACAGAAGCAACCGCATACTTGAACCTTCCCGCCTCCGTGTTTGATTGTGCCCAAAGTGCACTTAGGATCAAATCGCTTGTTTTTAGGACGTCTTACCCATAAAATGCCATCCGCTGAAAATAAATTAAATTTACTTTCATCAGAAAATAATGAAGAATTCTTCCACCTTGTTTCTGACCAGTTCAAATATCGTAAGAAAATTGAAGACGGGCGGTCCGATTTTTCTTAGAAATAAAGGGTTTTTTAGATGGTCCCCTGCTGGTAAAGCACTCTCCCTTAAACGTCTTCTAACATTTTTGCCCCAATTTTTACTTCTTCAAGTTGAGCTTTTATGTCGACACCAGTAGTAAATGGGTTTTTAAGAGCAAGTGTTTTAATTTTCCTATCAATCCTAGGTGTGGTTTTTCGCGGTCTACCAGTCTTAGGAAGGCTTACCAACGATTTTCCGAGGCGGAACAGCTTAATAGTTTTGCAAATTACCGATCGGCTTAAAATCAGATGTTTGGCTATGGTTGCTTGTTTAATGCCTGATCGATATTTTAAAATAATTATTTATTTTATTTGTAAATTCAATGTAATTCCTATGGCCATGTTTTTGACCTACACTTTACTAAATACACTCAAAAATAACACCTATTCTAATCAATGACTAAATATAAACTAAATATTTACAAAATATTTCTCTACTTATGCTCGTTGAACAAAAAAACGACCATATTATATTGAAACAAAAAAAGAATGCATACAAAGATAAGCATTTCATTAGCTTGAGGTAGTCGTACATAAAAAACTTTAATGTACAGTTTTGGGTTAGAGAAAATCTGGATTTTTATTTGTAATGTGTTTGTTTCTCTACTTTTGAAATTGAAATTGAAATTGAAATTGAAATTGAAATTCTTTATTCATGTCACAATACATAAAATATGTTTACATACGTCAGTAGATCAAATGAGAATTGCATTAGAATTAAAACAAAGGGAGTGCTGATGATCATAAAAAATTACAAACAAGTACACCAGCACTCATAAAGATATAATGCTAACATAACATATTAAGATCTATAGTTAAAATTTATGTCTTAAAAACTCTTCAAACGTGTAAAATGAGTTATTAATAAGACTTTTCTTGATTTGAACTTTAAAATCTTTAAACGGAAGCGATTTTAAGCCGTCTGGAAGTACATTAAAAAATTTGACCGCCCAATAACCAGGTCCATCTTAACACCTTCTCAGTCACCAATAAGGAGATACTAGATTGTTTTTATGCCTAGTATTGTGCTCATGGAGGTCCCCATGAGTTACATAGTTAGAGTTTCTTTTAACGAATAGTAGATTTTCAAAAATATATAAACAAGGTACAGTAAGGATTCCCAACTTGACAAAGGTATGTCTGCAATCGTCCCTGTAGCCCAAACGGCTTCTTTGCAAGGCGAACAGTCTATGGACCCCTGAAGAATGCCCCCAAGCCAGAATGGCGTAGGATATATGTGAATGGCAAATGGCAAAGTAAGCCATTCTCAATAAGGCTACAGCAACACAAGAAGACAGACTCCGTAACACATATATACCTTTGGTGGCCTTTCCAGCAACACTGTCAATGTGAAGGCCCCATTGCAATCTTGGATCCAAAGTAACCCCCAGAAACTTGGCTTCACCAACCAAATCACTGTCTCCAGGCATGGAGAACACCATTCTCTTTGTCTTATCTTTATTAAGCAACAGCTTATTGGAGCAAAACCACAGCTCAGCCTCATCCTGCGCAGCCAGAGACTGTGCCATTGAGCGCTCAAAACTGTTAGCGGTGTGAGAGACGGTCGTATCATCCGCGAAGAGAGTAAAGTTTGCCATATTGTTATTGAGAGGTAAATCATTTATGTAAATTAAAAAAAGAATTGGGCCCAAGATGGAGCCTGTGGGACACCAATATTAACACTTCGCTCCGCTGATGTCACTCCATCACATCTCACCACCTGAGTTCTATTACTAAGGTAAGACTCAATTAGTTTAACGGAATCATAACTAAAGTTGTAAGCATGGAGCTTTTTAAAAGGATGTCATGGCTCACACAATCAAATGCCTTACTAAGATCGCAGAAAAGAACCGTGTTATACCCTCCTCCATGGAAAGCATCAATTATAGAAGAAATCAGGTTAAGTACACCCATAACAGTGCTCTTACCCTGGCGAAAACCAAACTGATATTGTGAAAACAATTCGTTTGCCTCACAAAGGGTTACCAGTCTCAAAGTCATACATTTTTCAAGGATCTTAGAGATAACTGGAAGAAGGGATATAGGTCTGTAGTTCTCTGGTGAGTCAACATTGCCGTTCTTAAAAATAGGTGTGACACAGTTGGAAAAATATTTTCTCTAAGACAAATATTAATCAGTCGTGTTAGAGGGATCAAAATTATGTTCTTTATACATTTTACAATTTTTAAATTGAAACCAAAAATATCTTTACTGTTTTTATTTTTGAGATTATCTATTACATCGCGAACCTCGTTAAATGTGACTTCAGAAAAAGAAAACAGAGGTGGCGGTACCAGGAAATCAATATTATTTACAGGATCTAAATTTACATCAGGGATGTGATTTACTATATTACCTGCTATGTCACAAAAAAAATTATTAAAGTCATCAGGTGACAGGTCACTGCTCCCAGGGCACTTATTACTCTTACCTCTTTTTTTGTTAATGATATCCCACACGGTTTTAGTAGGATTACTTGAGCTCTTTACAAGGTTGTCATTAGCATTTATCTTAGCTATTCTTATTTTGCTCGGTACTGTACGTTACCCCTGTTTCCTGATATAAGTATCCTGAAGAAGTGGCTCATATACAGTGTTGTTCAAAAGTTGTTTGGGGAAAATAGATTTCCACTAGGCTAGGGGTCTGTACCTCCGAATCGCTGCGGCATTTCGGGGGCAAAATTGTTCTAGAATAGTCGAAGTAACCACGCCGTGAGTGTAGCAGTAATTGAATATTCAATGTTATCTAAAACAAGACACCTTTTTGGAAAGGATCCATGTCAGAGTATCAAGTATTAATCAATTGGTAAAACTGCAACAGATCCTTCTAACGCCTTTTCATCATCGGTGTGTAGTTCTTCGAAGAGGAATGCCTGGAAAGCCTCTGCCTGTACTATAAACAGTCAGACGTCAACTTTGTTGTTGTTAGGCGGGCTGGAGAATGGGAGCGTGGGTGTTCAGCAGAGATAAAGCTATTAAAGTAATCTCGTTAAGACGAGAGACGTAACACGCTATTAAGATTTTTCCTCTAGACGTGCGTGAGCGGTTGTATTAGACATGAAATTAATGAATAAGGCGAGACGGGAAAATCTGTATCATTAGCACTCTCGAACAGATTACGTTGAATGGGTTCCAGATAACAAATGGGATTGGTTTGTACCGTTTATAAACATACGAAGAAGGAAAGCTTAGGCGGAAAATCCTCCGTACAAACAAATTTTGATTCCAGGCGCATAAATCGTTATTATTCCGTTACGCTTTCATCATGAAGTTCCAGTCGACGGCGTCATGTTTGTTTTTGATGAGCAAACAAGTCTGATTATACATATTTCCGAACCTCCACACACAGCTTGTGAGTTTCTCCTGGTAGATTGATCCACATTCTCGATGTCATATAAACAAGCAGCTGTCAACCATGTTGGATGTGAAGCGGCGGCTCGCACTGAGAACAAAATTAAATCGTGCGACTTTAGGTCTAACCAAAATTATAATTTTTCTCCAATAACCTATCTCTAAACTGATTTTAAGATCAGTTAAAAATTGCCGAATACTAGTTAGCAAAGCTAAGGCGCCCCTCAAATTGACGCACAGCTTTCTTCTTTGCTCTCCTTCCTTTATTTCTTCTCTTCTTTCTAACTGACCTTGTCCGGTGTCTGGACAACCAGACCTGACATACCTACTGATTTACAATACTTTAACCAAGAGCAAAGGTTCTACGAACCACTCTGAGAGACAATGACGACTATACTATAACTATCTAAAACTGTAATGACTCATCGATGTTCACGTGAACATCACTTAACTACCAGTAGTCGGCTGTTCATAGGCGGGGCATGAATGTTTAACATGGGTGAACTAGATTTGTCACATGCTTAATAAAGGGTGGTTTGAAACATATTGTAAGTCAAAAATTTGGGAATTACCTTTATTCATCGTCGCTTCCACTTACATCTGACAGTGATAAACTGTCGCTATCGCTTTCCTCGTTGAAATTGACTATAACTGGCTCTGTGATGGTGTCGATGTGGTGGTCAAGCTGCCACATTTTTGTTTCTTCCTTCACAACATGACGGATAGCATTCTGCCAAGCTTCGGGCGTTACTAGCTGTATGGAAGTCTCAAGTAAAACCTTAACGTCTGGTAATTTGAAGGTTGTGTTATGGCGCGCAATATAACCCTTCACTTGAGCCCAGATGAGCTCTATTGGGTTCAGTTCACAGTGGTAGGGCGGTAACCGCAGCACAGTGACACCACATTGACGGACCATCTCATCAGTCACGTAACTAATGTTCGCAGGTTTGTGCTGTTTAATTTTTTCATACAATTCCGCTTTCACACATGAATCGTCAAACGGGATTCCTTTTTCGCGCAACCATTGCTGCATGTCACTTTTTCGAGATCCCATAGTCGGTACACGTTCGGCTCGACGACTATGGTAGGAAGCATTATCCATGACGATCACAGAGTTGGGCTCAACTCGCTGAAGCACCCCTTGAAACCAGCTCTCGAAGCAGCTGGCATTCATTTCGTCATGGTAATCACCTCCTTTCTTAGAGACGAAAATCAAGTCACACTCTTCTAAAAAGCCACTATCGCTACCAATATGAGTTACGATCAATCTTTGACCTTTTCCTGACGGTCCACGAAGACCTGTTGACAAACCTTCAATGCTTGCTTGTCGGTTACTCACTACGTTTTTGTCTATCCAGGTTTTTTTAACTGTGTGACCTGCATTTACCCATGTCTCGTCCAAATAATAGATTTTTCTGCTTTGTCGCCTATATTCAATCATTTCGCGTAGGTATTTTCGACGCCAGGCAACTATTTCAGGTCTCTCTATCAATACTGACTTCCGATTACGCGTTTCGTAACGAAAATTAATTTCGTGCAGGGATTTCCTCATTACCTCGACGCTCATTTGGGGTATAATTTCATTTTCCTTGATCGCTGCATGTACAGCCTTGAGGGTTGGTATCTCATTCCTAAAGAAGAATGAATGTACGGTTCGCCTTAACGCCATTTTGCTATCGTCATCCAATTTAACGGCCTTTCGTCCCTTCAAATTAAACTTTGGATCAGTAGTAGCTCCAGTTTTCTTCTTTTCATGCACCACCCTGCGAATGGTCCACTCTGGAACGCCTGTCATACTTTCACAACGCGCGAGTGCATCTCCCTGCGACATAGTTCTGTTCAGATAATTGAACACGTTGAGCACGATTTCTTTCGCGTCCCTCTTCAGTGCTTTACGAAGCCGTCTACTTGTTCCCTGGCTTTCAGTACTTCCACTCGTGCCATTTGAACTCTCCATGGTTAAGTATAACCAAAACAGTAACCACAGAAACCACAACAATAACAATCACACAACAATTCTTATAAAAACACACAATATGCGATCGCTCAACGAAACACGTTCCAATGCGTTGCCGACGACTATGAGTCTGCCGGTTGAGGCGCGTCTTTGATGTCATTGGTTCTACCGGCGGAGAACAATCAGCCATTATTTCCATCTCTGTCTGTGTTGTGGACCACCGCAAAGCCACAGAAACGACATATGTCGTACGCTATACGGCTGTACTGGAAGGAAGCCGGGATCGAGCTCTGA